TGTCCAGAATTGTAATGAGTTACTGCCTTTGTAGAGATATAGTTTTTTGAGATTAAGCTGTCAGTTTCTTCCATAATGTCTGTGCAAAGGAAATACTGGAAAGAAGGACTCAATTTCCTTCAATAAATAAACTGGCTCTCCATTTGCTTTGCATAGCCATTTTGATTTCTGGAAAATATTGGTGAAATCTATGATTTAAATATATTTTACAGTGAGAAGATTAAAAACTGTAAAATAAAGTGATAGATTAAATTTAGCTTCTGTCACATGCACATGTATGAAAAACGAATTACCTAAATTTGAATCCTTTTAGGCCTTATCATAATTTTACTTTATATATTTTTGTTTTGCTTATCTTGGAGTAGTTTAATTATTTTATGTGAATAGGATTTATGAAGAGAAGCTGTGTAGCAGTGGTTCCGTAACTTATTAACTATCTAATGTTACTCTGAGAAAAATATTTTAAGAAATATTAAACAAAATGTTAAATTTTGTTCAGCATTTTATAATGTACCGTATTTATCGGCGTATAACACGCACAGGCGTATAACACGCATCTTCATTTTAAGAGGGAAATTTCAGGAAAGCGCCCGTTTCACCCCCACTCCCACCCCCCGCGCGCGCTTCAATCCACAGTGTCCCATTCTGCCTGCCTGCCTGCCTTAGTTTCTGGTTGTTTGGGAGCAGCTTCGGCTGAGAATAATAACTATTCGCCTCTTTTACTCAGCCGAAGCTGTTCCGATTCAACCATTAACGAAGGCAGGCAGGCAGGCAGAACGGAGCACTGCGGGCGGGCGGGCGGGCGGGCGGGGTGAAGCAGTTTCTTCCTGTGCTGGTGGAGGAGCGAGAGAGCGACTGACAGAGCTGACCCAGAGAGAAGGACAGGCTTCGGTTGCTTCCTCCCTCCCCTTCTTTCATTTGTGTCCTTGATCCCCGATCCCAGCAGCATTCACCGAAGGCTTCTTAACATTATATCGGCGTATAACACGCATACATCATTTTCAGGGGGAAAAAAGTGCGTGTTATACGCCGATAAATACGGTATATATCAAAATTTAGAATCAATTTGTAATTTATAATAATCATATACTTATTTTTTCTTTGATCAGTTCTTTGACCAAGTTTTAAACACTTTTTAAAAAGTAGGGGACTGCAAAACAATAAGTTCACAAAAGTATCTGTATCTGTTGAAAAAGGACAGGCAGGATATTAACATGAAATGAATTGACTTCCTTTAGTTTATAGTATTCTGTTTAAGTGGAACTTGGAATGTTAGAGTTGAACATTCCAAGTTCCACTATCAATTGGAACAGCTTATTTACTGTCTTCTCTGTCCACAAGTTCAACTATTTGATTGTCCAATTTTACAATGTAAGCTGAAAAGTTTTTCTTGCATTATGATGCATTATTATAAATCAACATCAAGGCCTTTTTTATTGGGTATTAGAATTTTTGCATATTTGGGAAACATCTTCTTTCAAAGCTGCTGTTTTTAATATGTAACAGTTGGCTTTTAGGAACATTGTCTTCACGGCATCCTGAATATTTTTTGTGACTCAATAGAGTTTGAGAATAAATGCCATCTGGAAACTTCCTGAAAAACTATTCTGCTTTCTCATACTATTGGTATGAAAGAGGTAGTTTAGAGTAAAAGATAATTATTTTTAAAGATAACACAAGAGTGGTTTGAGAAATGGAAATTAATCTCCCTATTTTAGGAATTCGGGATTATTTAAGAAGCACAAAACTTCCTTTGAAGTTTAGGTCCTTTTTCTTACAATCTGCTACATTGACAGCCAGTGATTCCTTTAACAACTCTCCTCTTTTCTCTTCACAAGAGGAAGAGAATTGTATAATCCAAGTAAGCTACTGAGGTTGATACAGAATATCCCAAGTTAAAGAATTAATTTAGATAACATTTGGTTTACTCTTTAATTCAACAACTACTTCTCCTCTACTGCAGATAGAACCTCCACTTTAAATCTGTTTTCCTCCTCCACTTAATCCACTGCCCATATATCCAAAGAACTATTCAATAAATTTCTGGTTTATACCAGGCAATTAATAGTGTTCTCCCCCTCCCTACAACACACACACAAATTGTTCTCTGGATTGATGTCCTTTCAGCAGTTAATATGAGAAGGAAGCTGAATTGTTGCTAGGAAGTAAATTAATATGATGTTTTCTAACTTGTTCCTCTCTTGTGAGGAAAAATATATAAGCAAATGCAATGTTAAAAGTCAAGAAGAATGTTGTGATTCATATTTGCTAACCTAGTTTGACTTCTTTATACAAACTGCCTATTTTAAATCTTCAATGAGCTAGAAATTTTTATTCACAAGCTATTTAAGAATGGAATAAGACATAATATTGAAGTATGTACATAAGCAGGATTGTGGCTCTACAAAACTTTTGAATTCAATCATTTCCTTCATCTGTTTCTCCCATACCCATCTTCTGTGCTGCTTGTCAGCCCTTCAAAGAAGACAGAATAGGAAATAGATGTCACAAGGATTATTGGAATTCTATTATTTCAGGGTGTATCAACAGAATTTTGAAGGGCTGACATAGACCTTTACACCAAACTGAATCAAGACAGAGCACTATGGCATTTCTTTTTGACTTCATTCTGCCTTTCAAGGCTTACTTAACAAATACTGAATACCTTCTTCAAGGACAGCTGCATATCCTCTATCTCAGTGGTCCCCAACCTTTGCGGCTTGGCACCGACCCTCTGTTTGTTGAGTCAAGCTGTGCTTGCACACCAGCCCACTGCTTGTGCTGCCTGGTTGCGAATATGCCACAGTCTGGTAGTGGGGGTTGGGGATCCTGGTCTACCTTACCAGTTTGTGTGCTAGACTGATAACTTCAAAACCTCATTAAGCTGCAATTCCTTGTTTACAAATAACAATCTAGTATTTATTAAAAAGAAACTGAATTCTGGTTCATTCCTCATCTTGGATATTTAGGAGGATTGCATAGATATATGGACATATTCCAAACTAGTTTCCTCATAATGTGTAAACTTTTTGGTTGATAAGTTAATTTATTGGTTTGGGACAGCACACTATATTATTCATTCCTTATTCATATATATTGCTTGTCTGACTCAGTTTTAAGTATCCCTGACTCTCTTAATAAGAACCCAATGCAAAAAGAGTCTATAGACATGGGCATATACTATAATTTTTACAAAGTAAAGCAAACCATTTTTATCAATGAATCATAATAATTGCAATTACCAATTACTGTTGGCAATTACCAATGGCATTACCAAGATACTTGTTTTTGTATTTTTTCTCTGACAATTTTCTTACATTTGTGCCTTGAGCAGAATTTTATAAACGCCTAAAGGATGTGTTTTTGAAAGATGTCAGATTCCATCTGCCCTATTTGATTTTCATTTTACTGTCTTTTCTGATGCCTATAAGGCTTTTATTATAAGACTTTATGTAAAGCTGTCTTCTACTATCCTAGGCCTGTGTGTGTGTATGTGTTTATGTATGAATGTATGAATGTATGTATGTATGTATAAATATCAAATTATTGATGTGAGGATATTCAAAAGCAGATGGTAATTGTTATAAGAATATAGTCACTCTTCTAGACAATTTTTAGGTCAGAAAATTGAGAAGTATTGTCCTATATCTAACTTGTTCTAACTGATATGTTTGTTCACACATCAAGTCAATCTGTTTCATGCATTTGCTAGTACTTTTGACAGTCGCTGTTGCTGTCCATCTTAAAATTAGCAAATTATCACTTGTCAACATCTTTGCTTTCTAGTTTTTAAAAATACTTAACTAGGTAAATATTAATATCTTAAAAGGCAGTAAATATATATACTAAAGGAAGCCAGGTTAAATATAAGGGTTAAGGATATTATTTCAGTCATCTGTTTTACAGACGACAGTCAAGAAATAGAATGTTGGTGAAAGTAATATTAATGCAATATTTGAAGTAGTTTGGGGAAAATAATCTTTCCCTCTTTAGTCATGTAGCTGCTAATTATTCCTATAATTCATGTTTATGAAAAAAGGTCTTTTGTCTTGGCATTACTAAGGTGCATGAAATATACTGGTCAGTCCATTGCCTGGAAGACCTAGAAGCAAAATTAGACACTGTATCTATGGTAATGTAGTGATCGGGTCATTATTAAGAGACAGTGTCAAGAATAACAATCTATTGCATTGTTTTGGGTTGATTTTGCAATCTTTTGTGTGGATGAAAAACTATTTCCACTATTTAAGCAGGAACACTCATATATTGAAGTATAAGAAAGCACTCCTAAAAAGTAAGATATGGAAGAAGTTAATCAAAATTAATTAGCAATCTACAGCACTTCCAAATAAGATATTTGTATTATTCTACTTTCTTGCATTTTTACACAAAGGCTTTCTTTTGGAACTCATGCTCAAATTCCCAGATTTCAGTACAGGCCTGCATTTTGTTTACATATGCTGTAATCCCATTGCTCTTTCCCTTTTATATGGCTTCTTTCTTCTGAATACATTATACAGTACTGTTCAGCTTTGTATTCTGCTCTTGAATTCAATCTATCAGAATCAGAATGCCACATTCTCTTGGAGAGTTCTGTAACCCATTTGTCCCATTTAAACCATTGCATAGTTTTGTTGTGGTGGAAAAGTGCCAAGGAAAACTTCCTAGGAAAATAGAAAAACAAAACCAAAATATATGTAATTTCACTTAATAAAATACATTTAAGTTTTTAAAAAGAAAAAAATCAGAGTTTTGAAATGAGACTATTTTGGTAATATGTGAAAAACATTTTATTTTTTTAATAGTCATTGTCCATTCTTGGCAAAATACTTCAAAAATGTTAATGTTTTTAGACAAAAACTGAGACCAGGAAACCATTTTCACTCATGCTTGATGATTAACTTGGGTAAAACCAAAACTTTATCTAGCAGTAACTATTTAATCTGCTAAAAATGGTTGATTGATTTTCTGTTGGACTATTTCTTCTCTTTGTTTCCTAGGATAAAAAAGATAAAGTGTCCAGGTTTGATACTATTCGACATTCCATTGCTGGTATGATAAGATCACCAAAATCTATGTTAGGCTCTTCATCGGTAAGTGGGCAGGTAATGTATTCTTTTGTCTTTATTAAGAAAAAAATTGATTTCACTATTTTCTGCATAATTTTCTGTTATTTGCTGCAGGAAGATTTATTTGATTAATGTTTATAATATTTCCTATATTGAGAATGGTATTTCCTAACAGTCTACAGTAGATGAAACCCACCACTAAAGAATTCAAATGTTTGAACTCCCAAAGTACAGGTGCACGCTCATTTAATAAGCAAACTTTAGATTATAAATATATATAAATTGATTTTATTGTGATCAAGGAAGTCATCAAATTTCAAGTATAACCATAATTGAAAAAAATGAATGTTCCTGGGACCAAGTACATAAGAATAATCTAGGGTCAAGCTATCAACCTAATGGCTGGTATCAGAAATCAAAGCATAGACCAACAGGATTGAACACAAAAGGATGATGAAATATCAGAAAAGAAATACTGTACATATTTATTGGTCCATTTGGGCCATCTCTTAGACATTGATCTGTTTGTCATGTTTGTACCACTGCCTTATTTGACTGTTAACACTTCTAAATTAATTAAACCTGTAGTTTCATCAGGGTTTTCAGTTAAAGATGTGCTGACATAGGTTACATCATCATTTTCCAATCTCAGCCTTTATCTGACATATGCTCTCAGTTCTTGTTAAATATTTGATTTACCTTGATGTGATTATATTATAGGAAAATATGAATGGGGACAGCTTGTTCTCAGATAGGTTATGTTAATTTTAGTTCATGTTGTAACCAAAACCTGGATCACCTAAAACAACCAAATCACTTTGAAGATATAACATAGATTTATTAAGTATGCAAATAACAACGGTGTACAGCACTGGGTTTGCAGCAAAGCATTGGCAGCTTCCTGAGTAGCCCTGAGCAAAAGCAGAACCACAGCTTATACACTTTTGGCCTACTACATTGAAAAGACAAAGACAGACAGAATAAAATGCAGCATTGATGTTGGAATGTTTCAATAAATGGATGACCTTTTCATTATTTATCCCTTATTACTAGATCAGTATGCTATTTATATTATCTTTAACATATAGCCAGTGAATATAAACAATGTGGTTTATTGGCCTACTAGTTTCTGTCTGGGTTTGTTATGTCAACTTTCACAGTCTGCGAAAGGTGACTGGCCCCAGCTAATTTCATGCCTAAGGCAGAATTAGACCTCAATTCAGTCTTCCATTTTTAGCCCAGTGCCTTTAACAATTATAGTGACTTGATTCTCAAATTTGGCATTATATTAATCATTCTTTTTCATATTTTTCTTTTAAGTTTTTTGATGTAATATCAGCAAGTGAAAAACCCCTGGCAGAACAAGATTGGTATCATGGGGCAATCCCAAGAATAGAAGCTCAAGAGCTATTAAAACAGCAAGGGGACTTTTTGGTGCGAGAGAGCCATGGAAAGCCTGGTGAATATGTCCTTTCTGTGTTTTCTGATGGGCAACGGAGACATTTTATCATTCAGTATGCTGATGTAAGTTTGACTTTGATTTTTTAAGTGATTGAAGTACACCTGATTTCAATAGCTACATAATTAGTTTTAAATTATAGTTAGATAGCTAAATAATTATGCACAGCTAGGCATTATGTTACTTACCTGCTTTTTAAAGCTAAGAAATCATTATCAACCACTTATGAGCCACAAGTACTGTTCTGTGCATTTGATTCAGGATTCAGTAGTTTTCAATAGTAATCTTTCTACCTTTGAACTGGTGCATAGGAATGTTCTTTGCTCTGTTGTTAATTTCTAATTAGAGATCTTTAGAATTATATGATTGCCAGTTCCTATTTTTATCCTAAAAGGCACTGATCTAATTTTTCGGAGCAGTGCAGTTCTTTATTTTTTCAATTGGTTCTTGCAGTTATTGAGCTTCATGTCCAGAACCTTATGTAGCAATTTCTGAAGATGATAATGAACTCTCCCCCCCTCCCAAAATAGGAAAATGTTACAATTGCCAATGCATCACTATGCAAGACTACTGCAGTACATTCTACAAGAGGCTGCCCTTTCAAGAGCATTCAGAAATGAATTGGTACAAAATACAACTTCTCAGTAATTGTTGGGTTTTACCTCCAAGTATACATGTGTCTTACTCCCTACATTAATTGCCAGTATTTTTTTTTAATGTAGTTCAAAGAGCTGGTCTTTCCACCCTGTAAAGCCTGTATGGCTTGTGCCTGGTAATTCCAGGAGCACCATTTCCTATAATTGGCTGAAGCAGTATGTTCATGCCAGAAGAAACACTTGATGGTACCCCAGGTCCAAAGAAGTGATGTCAACTGAGGCCATGAGATACAACATAAATTGCAGCCTCCTGTGGAATAGCCTCCCCTTAAAATTAAGGCTTGCTCCTTCTATTACAAATTTCCTCAGAATGGAGCTCTTCTGGACAACATTTGGAGAGTTTCTATATTGTCACCATCTACTAATAGCAGTATTAGTAGATGTATATATTACTCTGATTCGCTGAATTTGCTTTTTTATATTTTATGTTTAGGTTTTTATAAGTTTATATTTGTACTCTTGATTTTTAAATTGTTGATTATAAATTATGAATGTTGATGTTGTAAACTGCAATGAATTTGTAGTTGACTACACATTATATAAATGGAATGAATAAAAGAATAAATATAAAGCAGAATGTTCTCAGGAACACTGGCATACTCAGTTTCCAGACTTCAGAGTTTTACACAAGCTGTTCTTATTCTTCAGAAGTATACTACTAATAAAAGGGAGGATTGGGGAAGTTAATTATTCAACAAATTCTCCTAAAATCATGAAACTATGGTAGGAGGATACCTATGCTACATTTTTCTACCTAATCCTGATTTTAGATTCATGCATGTCCTAATAAGGCCAGCCAACTTTTCATAAAGCTGTAGTATACATGCAATAGATAATTCACAATTGTTTCATTGAATTGTGAAATAAATATTTCTAATTTGAGGAATGATTAATTCATTTTTTTCCGCACAAACTTCTTAGTGGAACTAAATCATTCAAGCATTTAAATTCAAAAGAATTCACAGAGCTAAAGCACCTCAAGCATTTACTGCACAAAAGCCTAAACTAGGAAGATTAAAATATGAAGAGTGTGAAATAATGTTCCAGAATAAAGTATGGATGGAGGTTATATGAAATGATGAAATTGGGTTATTGCTCTGCAAGAAGCAGATACTAATAGAGTTAAATAAAAATTCTTAATCTTCTGTGTCTTGAAAACCACCTAGATACACACAAGATGTATTTAGCAATCTGAAGTTTTATAGTGTAATGATTAATGTATTATATAATCAGCTTATATTTTAGATGTTAATGAAGTTTTTTAAAAACCTGTGTTCAAACATTATCTCAAAAGACTTCATTATTAAAAGTAATTGTAAAGACAATTGTAGCTGACTAGAATTATTTCAGAAAAGCAAGTCATGTGTGTGTCTGTGTCTGTTTGTATTTGAGCTCCAAATTTTTTATCACTTAATACTCTAGAACAGGGGTGCTTAAATCCAGCCTGCGGGGCCGTCCTGGAACTATAAGGGACTGGCCCGCTATGCTTCTGGTGGCTATAATAGGCCATGTGTCTCCCCCCCATCTCATTTTCATCCTCCATGGCCTCCTACAACACTGCTGGGCAAAGCCGGCCGAAAAATTGGCCCAAAATGCACCAGAAAATGGGCCAGAAAACAGGCCCAAAATGGGTTGAAAAATGGGCCCAAAATGCATTGAGAAATGGGCTGAAAATGGGCCGAAAAAAGGGCCAAAAATGGCCCACTTGGCCTGTTTTTGGCCGGCAGACTACTGCAGAAGGCCATGGGGGCGAAAATGAGGCACAGCCATTTTGGCTGGCAGGGTGCAGAAGGCCATGGGGGCGAAAATGAGGTACAGACATTTTGGCTGGCAGGGTGCTGCAGGAGGCATTCGTCGCCCCCCGCCTACCTCCACCCCCATTGGTCTGCAGAGGATAATTGAAATGGTGATCCAGACCTCAAAGAAATCCTGTTTGACACCCCTGCTCTAGAACAGGAGTTATAAAGCAACTAAGGTTTGATTTCAGTGGGGAGAAAATCCCTGTTATTTTCTTTTATATGATGCATCACTATGTGTTTCAGAAGAATATTAGACTGTTTAAAAGCTTACTATTTTTCTGATTACTGTATATTCTCATTTTGCTTTATATGAACAATATCCATTTACACCCTATTAAAATAGTTTAGAGATAAAAGAGATACTGTACATTTCAACTACTTTCATTAAGAGAGATTTCTATTGTTTTGATTTAAAAACAACTGTTAGAAAATAGGTCCAACAGTAGTTGATACTCCATTCTAATTTTTATTTCATGGCTTAGAACAAAAGTTATAAATATTGTGAAATATTTTCTTTGTTAAATCAGGAAGTATTTCAAGGCATACACTGATTATTGCTTCTTGTACTTGAAGACCAGTGGTGGGATTCAAAAAATTTTATTACTGGTTTTGTAGGCATAGCTTGGTGGGCGTGGCATGGCTTGGTGGATGTGGCAGGGGAAGGATACTGTAAAACCCCCATTTCCACTCCACTCCAGGAGAAGGATACTGCAAATCTCAATTCCCACCCCACTCCAGGGGAAGAATACTGTAAAATTTTCATTCCCTCTCCATTCCTGGGGGAAGGTTACTGCAAAATGCCCCATTCCCTCCCCACCCCACTAACCTGCTTTCTAGCTTCGTTCTCCTGTGCAGGGCAACAAAAGAAGACTCAGATGATCAGCTGGGACTTGGGAGGCAGAGAATAGAAGTGGAGTGGGGCCAGTCAGAGGTGGCATTTGTTGGTTCTCTGAACTACTCAAAATTTCTGCTACCGGTTCTCCAGAACTGGTCAGAACCTGCTGAATACCACCTCTGTTGAAGACGGTTTGTGTTTTTTCTGTCCGTAAGATATAAGATTTATATTATATTGAGAATATTTATTCTCAATTTACTGGGAAAAAAACTAATATTCTGTTCAAGCTGTAATTTCCTGCTCATTTTTATAGCATAGTAGTGGTTTTATAATTAAATTATTTTCATGGAGATTCAGTTTGGTTATATACTATATATCCTAATTTAATGATCTTGCTTGAGAAAGCTATAAACAAACTTTTTGTTTTGAATTAAATTTGAAATCTTATTTAGTAAATATGTATATTGGCTACAATTCCAATGTTGGATATAACAACAATGAACATCCATAACAGAGGTGGTATTCAGCAGGTTCTGAACAGTTCTGGAGAACTGGTAGCAGAAATTTTGAGTAGTTCGGACAACAGGCAAATACTACTCTGACTGGAGATTTTACAGTATTCTTCCCCAGCCACTCCCACAGAACTAGTAGTAAAAAAAATTGAATCCCGGCACTGATCCATAAGTTAAATAAACTATTTACTTGTTTGTTTGTTTTGTCAAGCGATTATAAGATAACAGGTATAAGTATAACATAGTTATGAATACATGAAATGGATACATATAAGAAAAATAAAAAGAAACAATAGGACAGGGACAATAGGGCACGTTGGTGCGCTTATGCATGACCACTACAGACCTGTAGGGTGAGGTCAATAGTAGACAATCTAAGGTTAAAGTTTTTGGGGTTTGGGGAAGAAACCACAGAGTCAGGTAGAGTATTCCAGACATTGACCACTCTGTTGCTGAAGTCGTATTTCCTGCAATCAAGTTTGGTGCGGTTTACCTTGAGTATCTATTGTGTGCTCTTGTATTATTATGGTTGAAACTGAAGTATACATTGACAGTTAGGACATTACAATATATAATTTAATATACTATACTTAGATCGGACCGAAGGCAGTGTAGTTCTAGGTTTTCTAGGTCTAGAATTTCAAGCCTGGCGGCATAAGGTATTCTGCAACGAGTAGAGAAGTGGAGAACTCTTCTTGTGAAATATTTCTGGACTTTCTCAACTGTGTTAATAGATATGTAATGCGGGTTCCAGACTGATGAACTGTATTCGAGTATTGGTCTAGCAAATGTTTTGTATGCTCTAGTTAGTAGTGTGATATTACCCGAGAAAAAGCTACGTAGGATTAGGTTAACAACTCTTAATGCCTTTTTGGCTATGTAGTTACAGTGGGTTCTAGCACTTAGATCATTAGAGATGAGTACTCCAAGGTCCTTGACAGAGCTTGGATCATTAACAAGGTCTTTACTATTCAGCTTGTATTTTATTTTCTGATTTTTTTTGCCAATATGTAAGACAGAGCATTTATTTGTTGAGATTTGAAGTTGCCATTTGTTTGACCATTTTGATACATAGTTGAGGTCGTTTTGAAGGATAGCAATATTGTCAGTGGTGTTGAATAGCTTTACATCATCAGCGAAGAGAACGCAAAAAACTATCAAAACTATCATTTGAACTTTCGTGGAGAGGGATGAAGACAGTAAAAGAAGCAATTATTTACTTATATTTCCAAATGTTTCCAGCTGCTGAACTATGGTTTAGCAAACTAAGTCATACATTATATATTATCCCAATAATTACAGCTTAATAAATCATTTCAGAATTCTTGGTACAAGCTCTTAAAAGACAACTTGTTGCATAAAACAGTAAAGTCAGGCATGACTTCATTAATGGAAACAGTTCTCATTGCTTAACTTTTGTATTTCTTCCTCAATTTTGTCCTACAGAATCAATACAGATTTGAAGGAACAGGATTTTCAACGATCCCTCAGCTTATAGAATATCATTATACAACAAAACATGTGATTACAAAGAAATCAGGCGTTATTCTTCTGAACCCTGTTGTTAAGGTATGTGTATGTAATACCAATGGTGAAACCTGATTTTTTTTTTGCTGACAGTAGGCTATGTGGTATTTGTATTTCTCCTTTTTATGAATATTTGATTTTTTGTCATAATTTTTATTGTTATTCAAAAATGTTAAAATACAAAACTGCAAAAAAGGAGATTCACAGGAACAAATAAACCAAAAAGCAAAAGAAACAAAACATTGCATTAGGAAAAAAAATACAAACACAACTACATTTTTATCCATGCTAGTTGAATACTGATAAATATATGACAACAATATTAGTTTCCCACCCCTTGCGAAACAGGCCCCAAAATTTTTCAAACTTTTAATTCTGTTTAAAATTATTACCTTGTCATCTATCTACTGTATTAATGACTAAATAATTAACAAATAGAACAACAAGCAAACAAAAAAGGCAAGAACAAAATATCACCCGCTGTTAACAAACTATTGTATTCAACTCATAAGAAGTTTACCATGGCTTCATTATATCCCCAATCGTTCCAACAGTTAACTCTGATTTGTCCTGGATCAAATATCCAAGATTGTATCTTAACAGCATTTTTTATCAATTGTTGGCTAGTTAAATATAGTAGACCCATTCTTACTGTTCAGCAGCAATCTTTGGGAGGAGTCTATTAATGTTTGGTTTTACTTGCATATTTTGAAATAATGTAAAACATTTAATCTTTATTCTTTCGAAGAGTTATGCAAGCTCAGACATATTAGAAAGTTAAAATGTCAAGCAGGCTGAAATTACTGCTTCATGCTTTCTTCTGCATTGAGGGCAGACACTTGGGTGCAACACTAGGATAATCAAAAGTGAGGATCTGAGATGAATTATAGGGAGCCACTTTGGTGGCATGAAGTTTTGGGAAAGACTCTGGATAGCAAGTCCTTATTGTAGTTGCTAAACAAGAACTATTTGTAATATTAGTCCTCATTCTGAGAAGTTTTTTTCAATCAGGTTTTACATTGGCTTTAGTTGGTTGTAAATGGATATTTTATCCTCTGCTTCCCATAAGATTACAACATTTCTTCACAGTGATTTGTATAAATGTATTCTTCCAAATAATAACATGTAATTATTATTAGAATATGAACCCAGACAGTGAAGCAGGTGAGGACTTCTAGTAGCTACTTGAAATAATGTTTTCTGAATAAAGTATGATGTGTGTTTGTGTCTATATGTGTGTGTATCAGAAATAATTATGAAAAAGGCTGTTTGGGGTGGGCAACAATCAATGATATTAGTAATTTAATTTATGGACTAAAACTATACTCAATGGACCTACCTTAGTTGCAATAATAATGTCATATTTATCTTAAACCTTTTAATGTTATTCTTGTAATAAAGCTTTTAGATAAGAAATGTTTGTGTTTAACTGAGTGCCCTGACAGCTGTCTTGGTAATGGAAAAGTCAACCTTTCTAAATCTACAATTTTCAGCTATTTTTGAAGCTTTTTCTTTTCAATATGCAGTATAATTCACCTAAGAATTAATATAAAGTTTTGATTTATTGATTGAGTGAAATATTGTCAACATTCTGCACAAAAAATATCCTTTTAAAAAATCACTGTTTCCTAAACAAGAAAAACAGAGTAGATGTCAGGAAAATGAAAAAAAAATTCTTTTTAGCAAAAGACTGGATCCTAATGATGAACTTTGACTGGCAGGAACTATTCAGCAATATGTGAACATATATTAATCATGATAGTAGGAAGATACTATAGATCTGGTTTGGGAAATAATCTGTAGACTTATAGTATATTTTAATGAATACTGAAAACTTTTCTGTATAAATCATACCTATAGAAATATTCATTTGCATTTATTTTAATTGGATTTCTTTTTAAAAAAACCTTCAAACAGCTAAATTGTGATCATGCTCATAAGCTCAGACAAATCAATTCATTTAACAAATAATTAGAGTAAAAAGGAATTTCAAAATATTTTGTTAGTTTTTTTCATGTGATGCGTGCAACACAAATGCTTTCTTCTATGTTAAGTACTGCTTGATCACTGTTTGATTGCTTGTTTAAAATTCATGTGAAGTGAGTCCTTGGCAGGAGTCCTTGAATATTTTAATTCTTCTTTCATACAAAATTATCCTACGTGGAACCATTTAGTAATTGGAATTTAAATTGGAGCATCACAATTGATGCTATGGAACAAACAAAATGATGTTCAGTTAGCTTATTGAATAAAATGTTCATTTTTTATTGTGTCATTGAAGTAACTATTAATAGTTGTGGCCCAATTACATATCATATTCACTGTATGTCAAGCTAAGAATCATAATGGAAAAATCTTAATAGGATTTAAATTACAAGAGCCAATGTGTGAGTAATTTTTTTGAAGGAAAAAGTGGTTAACAAAGATTTCCTTTTATGCTTACATGTAAAGTAATAATGTGTTACCAATTCAATAAATTATCATTAGAGTAATGAAAATTTTATTGTAGCAATCACTGCCCAAATATTTGAAGATAATAGTAACTCATATACAGTATATGGTGGTATTCTAAATATGTTTTAAAAATCAGTGTGTGTGTCCGTGCGTGTATTCATTCTAATATATGAGCATCAGCAGAGGGATGTTTTATCTTTCTCTGTGTATATAATATATAATGAAAGCACTGCATTAGTAATAAAATAAAAAGTTAATGTAGAATATTCATTACTATTATGTTTTCTGAGGTAGGTATTTTGATCATGATGTATTGCATTTGTGTCAGGTTCATTGGCTTTTTGTTTATTTAAAAAACAGATTTAAAATGCTGGTTTAGAATCTTAAATCCTTGTGCAATTCACTATCATGTTACCTTAAGGAATATTTGAGCCCATATGTTAGAAAATCTATTGCATTCAATTGGGGCCTATTTTGCTAAGATGTCAGGCATAAGAGACCTGGAAACAGAACTTTTGGTACCTTCAAACTTAGAATTTGCTTTGATTGTGGTCTTTTGTTTTAAGGACAATAGTCCTTCAAGTCCCCATCCCACCACCTGTTTAATACATATTTAACATATCAATTGAAACTTTTGAAACATCATATTTATAGAATAGCTAAATTCTTTGTCCTGTTTTGGACACCAGTCAATTTCTGGATTGAGTGTCTGATTACCATTGTTGCAATTAATGGGAAAGCCCTTTGAACCAAAGATCACACATGCTTTCAAATGTCTACATCCCTCCCCCCAATTTTAATTCTGTTTCAAGATAGCTGCTTGGATATGGGGTCCTAAAACAATATATATTTTTTCCAAGACTTGGAAAGATTTTTTTGTGAGAAAATTGCCTCTGAAATAGGCAATAATCGGAAAAGAGTGTTGAACATTCATCATAATTGAGAAGCATTAAAAGAATAGGACTGTATTTCAAATTCCCATCTACTGGGGTTTTCCTGTGGAAGATGTAAGCCTTTCTGTTTCTATATGGATCATCCAAAAATAATTCAAATGGACAAAACAACAACTGAATCTTAAAATTCCTCATAAATATAGAAGACTTTTGCCAGGATGATGTTAGGCTCTATTTTACACACTGTGATATGAAACATTCCAGAAAACCTCTACTCCAATAAATAACTCTGAGACAGACATCCTCTCCAAGGTTCTTTTTATTACAGTAGTAAACTGGCACATCTGGGAAATCCCAAATCTGAAAGTTCTGGGTTTCCTTGCAATAACTAAAAAATTACAAATCCACCCCCTGCACCCATCATTGCATCATATGCCCCAATCACTATCCATCCCAACTTGAGATGTCCTCTCCAACCAGGTGCAGAAATAACATGACCTTGACTTAGAAGAAGAATGCTATTATGTCTAACCACATACACTCCAATAAATTCCCCCCTCCCATTTTCCCAGGCTCAAGAATGTGGCAGTGTGGAAGCATCTGGTGCCAATATGGCTTCCAAAGCTGACAACAGTCTTATTGGAGTTGGGCAAAACCATGGGTTAATGCAGTGGTCTTGTTTTCATTAAGTATATATGGCCTGAGTGAGGCTCTGTCATGAATCAGTTTAAAAAAAAAATCAGTAGGAAGAACACTTAATATCTGGTGAAGCTTGAACATTTTCTAAATTTGGAATTGTATAACAATATTTTTTCGCATTAAATGGATTTATAGAAGAACTAGGTTTTCCTGTGTGTTTTTTATTTGCTAGCAGACAGGAACAAACTGCATGAGATCTGCTCTACTTTCTAGCAGATACATATGCTTGTGTTTTGCAGTCTCTTTGATAAACATTGAAGTGAACATTCCCTTGAAACTGCTTCTTGAAGTAACACAGTTTCCATCCTTCTAAGAGTCAAGTAAAACAGCTGCATTGAAATGTTTTATTTGCTTTGGTTACCTCCTGTTGGAACTGCTGATTGAAGTGTCAGAATTGGTAGAAACATCTCATTCAGACCAGTCACGTTGTCTTTTTACCTCTGGGAGGACTGCTGCAACAACCATTTGTCACAAAGTACATCTCTGAGGCAAAGCTGAGCTACCACACACAGGCCTATGACATGTTGCATTTGGTTGTCACAAATCCCTCATGTAACCAAATATCTGTAACTCCTAAATATTTAAGTAAGATTTTGGCTTGATTTTTGACTTTAACGAATGTGGAAAGCTTATATCATAAAGCAATGACATAAAAAGGCATTGGAACAGCAGCAGACATAATGACTAATGTACTGGTATAAATAGTTGTAATATTTTCTGACAGCTTATTTGATTGCAGTTTATAGTACAATTTTGTTTATTGTTCTGAATAATTATACATCAAATATATTTCTCATCAAGAAGTCTTTAAAATGCCATCTTCACAGTGTCTTTAAAATAAATACTTTAAACCACTGAACAATGAAACATATCTTTTATTCTAGTACTTATTTTCTTCTTACATGTGTGATTGTGTGTGTTTGTATTCATCATGATTTTGGGTGTGGCTGCATTTATTAGTCAGATTCTGTGGATTGCTTTTAGTCTGTTGACAAGGGCTTATGGCAATTGCAAGGGAAGTGTTGCTAGGTTCTCCCTTGACCAGAGTGCTGGATGGAATTGATCGTTCTTGTTGAGATGCATCTCTGAATATGGTCATCAGCTTTGGAATAGGTATCATCAGTATAGTGGTAACACCCCCTTTCTGTTGTTCCCTATCATTCATTTCATTATCATTAATTATCATTAATTTAAATGATTAAATCCAGACAAAGAAACAATACTGTTGGTAATGAGAACATTGGACTCAAGGTAGATGTTAGGTTTATTTAGTACAAAGTTTTTCTTTCCAACAAAGGGTATGTTCACAGTATGGGACTGTTCCTTGGATCCCAGTTATTAGATTTGCATATGAAGCCTATGGCAAGTAACATCTTTCCATAACTATAGTGATTGTGCCAACTTTGATTCTTCCTGAGCTAATGGCCATTGTTATCTATGCCTTGATTACATCTTTTATAAAGGATTTCAATGTGGCTCTACTGTTGAAAAATGACCAACGATAGCTATAAGTGCAAAATGATTAAACGAGCTGTTGACTGGTGCAAATTATGTATTATGTACGGTCCAAATCCAAGAATTGGTCATGATTGAATAGAAGAATTGTGGTAATTACTCGCCAAGCACAATTTAAGATATTAATGTTGAACTTTAACACTCTATATAGCTTAGGAACTGATTGTCCGAGGGATCATTTCTGCTCCTTTAATCTGTCCAGTTATTTAGATCAGCAGGAGAGATCCATTTGGAGTTTCCCCTGATACCAGAAGCCTGCTTTCATAGAAAAGGATATTTTCCTGTATGCTTATGAAGTACATTTTATAAGCAGGTACCCTTGCCTCTCTGCTCTCCTAGTATTTAGGAAAATTGTAGAAATCCATCTCTTTTACCAAGTGCTTAAACTGAGATTCAAGTTACCGATTTTAATTTTGTTCTAGTTTTAATTATATAGCAGTATGTCAGGATTTAAGTTAGATAAATGAATATCACAAATAGGAATTAAATTAATAGGAATTAAAAGAAACTAGCAGAGGACTGGACAATGAATAATGAACATATTTGTCTGCTATAATTCCTTTTCAGTGACTGGAAAAATGCTCATTTTTCTTTTTAAAGAATTGGGATAATAAATATTGCTAATATTGCTTTGAACCTTCCTAAAGTTGTTTTTATTTGAGTGCACTGATTTAATATATTTCTAGTTTTGTCTACCCATTTCCCTTAGTATTACTCCTTTATGCTATGAAATGTATAATCAGTGAGTGGTCTTCTCAAGCATACCTAATAAAGGTCTTGTGCTATTCTGCTTAATGCAAATCATCTTATTATTTTCTAATAGCAATAGCACTTAGATGTATATACTGCTTCACAATGTTTTACAGCCGTTTCTAAGCAATTTACAGAATCAGCATATTGTCCCCACAGTCTGGGTCCTCATTTTACCTCATTTTCCAAGTGCCTTTGAGATGTGACCACTGATTTTATCTACTGGATATCTGTTTCTCTGCCATATATTTTACTCTGTCTTACATATAACATTTTCATTAGATGATCAAAATAGGGATAGCTCGCATACCCATAGAATCTGTCTTTCAATCTATAAGCTGTTGAAAATTATATAGGATATATATATTAAGAATGCATCCAAAATTAATTCTGCCATTTACTTGGTATACAATTTAAAATTGAATACTTTGGATTTTTTTCAATAATATCTCTTCAAGATCTCATACAAGAGTTGATGATATTGGTTTTTCCACTGCTGGTTTCTTCAATGCAAACTAAGATATACTTGGTTTATATTTTCATGGTCTGATCTCATAAGAGATATTTCAGTAAAGATACATAGCTAAAAATATAGAAACAATGTTAAGATAACAGTAACCTCAAAAGTTTTTTTTAGGTAATTATGTTTTTGCTTAATTCTTTCTAGCAGTGGCAATTTTTGTTTGGATTAAAATGTATCTAAAATCTCTAAAATGCTCTTTAAGTAAAATTTATTGAAAGGGCTCTTTGAAATTTTTATATCAAGATCATAAAGCTGTTATAAGCATATAGACAGTTCATCAGTATTATAAATATTTGGGCTTTTCACATGTAATATAATAAAATTTAATGATGTTTTCTGTAATTTTTAAAAATGATAGATGAATTCATATATTAAAGATAATATGGATATATTGTATGGGTATTATATCAAGCCAAAGTTTTGATTAGGAATTTGCTATGATTTTATTAGCTGATTTCACATGACTGTCCTTATCGTTTTGTATGTGGTTGTCTAGTTTCATTGAATTATCCTTCTGGAAGAAAGCCAGTGATATGAATAAGAAATATTAGCTTTTTTTTAAAAAAAATTAAATATTAATGTCTATTGCTGCAGGATAAAAAATGGATTCTCAATCATGAAGACGTCATTCTGGGAGAATTACTTGGCAAAGTAAGTAACTATCAAAGCAATGGGGAAACTCCTAAATATTAAACCTTATTAGAAAACTTCTTCTTACAAGACATACTTGCTATTAAGCCTTTTCAATGCATGATAGTTCACCTGCTTTAATTTATGTCCAGTGTGTCTTTAGTTTGAGGTCTTTGCAAAATATCAGCTAAACCATGAGAAGACAGGACTATGTGGTCCTTGGTGCTCTCCGAGCTTAGTTGAGAGAGTTCAGGAACACACCCCCCCCCATTCAACCCTAAGGTATAAATAGTCTCTTCTATTTATGATTGGACTGTGGGGATTCTTAACAGATTTCAGTGCAGATCATGGAGGGCAATATGTAGTATATGATGGTATAAATAAAAAGATAGGAATGAAGATTAAAGTTTTTTGCAGCTGTTATTTTAAATAACTTGAAAATACTGTCACTTGAGCTTATTTCTTCAAATTAAGATATTGTCATCAATAAAAATCACTTGAAGAATTTTGGATGATGGTTCAGAGAATGACTTTTTAAGTGAAAAGATATTGAATTCACAAAGTACTTAGTAAAACTTAGAAAGATTAGAATAGGGTCAAGGATGCTAATTCTAAAACTTCTTATAATATGTCTCACTCCAGATGCTGATGAAATACTCTGTCATGTGCAAGCTGATACATGCCATTAATATTGCTAATTTATTGTCTTATTAAATATAAAGTTGCACTCATTAAATGTATTAAATGTCAAGGGAAGTAACTAATATCAAAATATGATATATTTAAATATTTTTATGTTTATTTAAAAAGAAAAGAACAGATGACATATTTGAATATAGAAACATATTATGTAATCTTAAAAACATTAAGAAACATTGGTTTATGGGTTTTACTCCTTTAAGATTTAGCAAAATCATGGTCTCTGAAACAGAACCAGTGTTAAAAGATAGGTTTGATTTCATTTTTTTCTAGTTGATATTGATGCTTTGTGTAGCAGTTTGCTATTTGTATTCCAAAGAAGAGTCATATGTCCAGGCCTAATATGGTTTTAATAATGCTATATTTGAAGTGATTATTCTCAAACCTTTTGGGTATTGATGCTGATGTGAGGAGAAATTATACTATAGATTTCTTGTATTTATTTTTTATTTTACCCCATTGTCCCAGTACTTTGGAGTTGCAAGAGTACCAGAACATTTTATTAATTAATTAATTAATGTGTGTGTGTGTGTGTGTGTGTGTGTGTACACATACACATATATGTTTAAAATAATTTTAAAAGATGGTAACATTGGAACTAAACAGATAAAATTTAATATAAATGGAGTCTCTACTAAAGAATACACATTCTTCATATGATCTAATTTCACAAGGAAGCACACAGGAAGATTGCTAGAGCTGTAGTTGCATTCTTCCAAACAATATTATATGTGCTTAACCCTATTTTTTTTTTAAATCTTCTGGCAACAGTTACAATAATTGTCTGTGTGCATGTGTGCAAATGCACAAGCCTTTGAATCAGTGTTGACTCCTGCAACAGCCTGGACAGCCCCAACATTTTTCTTAACAAGATTTCAGGAGTGGTTTGCTTCCAAGGGCTGAGAGAGTGTGATTGGCCCAAGGATACTCCGTTAGCTTCATGCCTACTTGACTACTCACTGTTCTGATAATTTAATGATCACTTTTGAGAAATACTAAAATTATAAATGACATGGAAAATACCACAGTTTTAAAATATGAACGCTACACCTTTGAGGCATATGCAAGTGTAGCAATTACATTATGATACTATTGATGACAATCTGACTTCCCTTGTCTGCTGAAGATACTGCTGCACTGCACTAGTTCATCTATTAAAAATGATACCTACTTAGAGAAGTAAATATCATTTTTAATAGATGAACTTATCTATTAAGTTACATGACCTTATATAAGAAAATTAGTATGAATGCATTGAATTAAGATATTTTGATATTTTATGCATTTAGAATACGATTTTGTTCACTGTTTTCTTCACTGACAACTTCTAATATTTACAACTTCAGGGTAACTTTGGTGAAGTCTATAAGGGAACATTAAAAGATAAAACACCTGTTGCTGTAAAAACATGTAAAGAAGATCTTCCTCAAGAACTGAAAATAAAGTTTTTATCAGAGGCCAGGTAAGAAGTAAAAAAAATACCAAAATATATAATTTAAAAAGTCATTTAGTGGCTGAAAATATTTCCCACTTCAAAATGTATTTCAATTTGAAAGTGTTTATGCCATTACATTATTAATAATGTAGAAGTTACTTGAATTAAGCTTCTCTAGGATGGGAGAAGGGCAGAGAAATCAGCATTGAGAACATTATCCTACATTTTTTCTATATACAAAGTGAATATGTTTAGATCATTACTGTTTTTATAAGCAAGATATATCTAAAATGATAGTCATTAACTTTCCTGGAAGAATAAATGTGAGTGAATTAACTTTTTTCTTATGATAAATTAAAGAGCATTTAGAGATTAATATATTACACTAATGTAAGGAAATTTTCCACCTCTTTGCAGAATACTCAAACAATATGACCATCCCAATATCGTAAAGCTTATAGGAGTATGTACCCAAAGGCAGCCTATTTATATTGTGATGGAGCTTGTTCCAGGTAATGTTGGTTTACAATATTATTTGTAAATAATATATTTATATGCCATTTGTCCTCTATTTTTCTCTTTCTCTCACTCTTGTATTTTGATGTCTTTGACATGCATTTTATGCTTTTTAAATTACATCACTTTGGAATTTAAACATGGTGATTTATAAGGATTAGATAAAATTGGCTTGAGGAAATTCAAAATCATACTAATATTTTACTTTTGCCAGGAGATGGAAGTAGTATCAAAACCATAGCTTTTAAATATATCTCATTGTAAATTTTTCTAGAACATGGAGATATGCAAATCTTGGCTGATCCATGTTACTTGCAATATTGAGTATATGGTGTAAGAAAAAAAGTAAAAAATACCTCTGTAATATGAGCTCTATTAAAAGTATAAAGAAATATTGATTAATATGTCAACTTCATTTAAAAGAAACAAGATTAAAAGTTAAGAGAAGCTGTATTGCAGGATTGTTTTCCCATATTTTCTACATGGTGCTTTCCATGCATGAATATTTGTATTTGTAATGTTAATTTGTTGCAAAATTGATACTTTTGCAACCAATGTGCATGTTGTGATAAAAAGCAAAATATAATCTTAATGTCCCTTTTACAAACAAAACACCATTCTTTAAAAATAGGCTTTGGAGAATAAATAGTTATATTTCTGCTAAACTGCATTTGTATATGTTTATTTATGCACAACATATTTTTGTAAGACTGGGATGAAAAAGAATAATTAATATAATGAAGAGAAAAGAATTGGAAGTCACAAGATGAATATTTTATTTAGTTCTTTAAAATGATTTTGTAATTTAGATGCAGCAACCTTTGATGGCTGATGGTAGGTTTTACTCTAATATAGTTTTTCCACTGTGGGCTATACATAAAATAGTCTACAGTAAGTAAGTTTTGATATAGTAAATATCAAAACCTTAATCGGGTAAATAGTTCATTAAAGGTTATAAAATTAAATTTTAAAAATTAATAATTGTATGATAAACAATAAAATATCCATAAAGGATCAAAATTAATAAAATAGATAGCAAGGTTAATCTTCTAGTGCAGTGGTCCCCAACCTTTTTTGTACCAGGGACCAGTTTCAAGCAGAAACACTTTTTCAAGGACCGGCGGCGGGGGGGGGGGATTCTATTTTCCATTCCCAAAACTTTATGTTTACCCTACAACTAGCATTAAAGACACCTGACTGCAGTCTCTCTAGTTCTAGGTCTTGCCCAGCTGTGTAGCTACAAAATTTCATGCAGATGTTTCTCTTATCTCTGTTTGGTGAAAACAGGAATTGAATGAGGAGCATTTAGTCAGTGTGTTTTCCTAGGAAGCTCCTGTAGTCCTTGTTTAGGGATCATTCAGAGCTACGATGGACCTCTAACATCCAGCCCAGGAAGAAACTGCTTCAAAGAAGCCAGGGGTGGTGGCTTTTCCTGTCGCCACACCTCCTCCGAAGCGCCCGTTCACCCCCACCCCGCCCGACTGCGCACGGTTCAATCCAGTGCTCCGTTCTGCCTGCCTGCCTGCGTTTCTGGTTGTTTCGGAGCAGCTTCGGCTGATAAAAAGAGGCGAATAGTTATTATTCTCAGCCGAAGCTGCTCCGAATCAACCAGAAACGAAGGCAGGCAGGCAGGCAGAACGGAGCACTGGATTGAACCGTGGGCGGGCGGGGTGCGGGTGAACGGGCGCTTCGGAGGAGCTGCGGCGACAGGAAAAGCCACCCCCCCCCGGCTTCTTTGAAGCAGTTTCTTCCTGGGCTGGTGGAGGAGCGAGAGAACGACTGAGAGAGGAACGAGGCGGGAGGAAACCGAAGCCGCTGAGCCGGAGAGCAGGACAGGCTTTGGTTGCTTCCTCCCTCCCCTTCTTTCATTTGTGTCCTTGATCCCTGATCCCAGCAGCATTCACCAAAGGCGAAGAAAGCCACCATTTTTTTAATTTTTTTTCTTTGCGGCCCAGTACAGAGTGCTCCACGGACCGGGACCGGTCCGCGGCCCGGTGGTTGGGGACCCCTGTTCTAGTGCTACTCTTTCTATTTCCTAAAATGGTCACAGTTACCCACTTTAAATCTTTGGCTTCACTTTATTAAATGTTTTACAAATATCTTTTCTAAGAACACACTAAAAGCTGCAAAACAGAGATATCAGAAAAACATGATATGTGAAGTCTTATTCCCCAGTCTCTGAAGTGTTTTATCTTCCTGTTGCACAGTAACAAGATATTGAAATTTAATTATTGCTTGCATTTGTGCCCAGAAATAGATCATGGGAACTGAATGATATGGGAAGTGAGCAGTGGCGGGATTCAATTTTTTTTAATACTGGTTCTGTGGGCATGGCTTGGTGGGCGTGGCAGGGGAAGGATACTGTAAAATATCCATTCAGAGGGGGTGTTTGCTGGTTTTCCGAACAACTCAAAATTTCCACTATCGGTTCTCCAGAACTGGTCAGAACCTGCTGAATACCACCTCTGGAAGTGAGGTCAAAAAACATGCTTATTAGAGGCTATGGACGATAAACTCAACAGAGTAATTTTGCCCTACCCATTGCAAATTGTGAAATAGCAACTGTAAGGGGAAGAACGGGTTAAAAAGTAGAGTTACATCCATAATGTCTCTGAGTGAGTTCAACATTTCATAGACTTAATTTGATATATTTAATAATTTTTATACCTAGATTTTTATTTAATAATGTTTTTAGTCTTGGCTCAATTTATTTTATGTGACCCAAAATGTTTATGTGATAAATATTTTAGTGTCATATAAGATGATTCCAACATGGATTTTTTAATTTTTGGATTGCATTGCTACTGTAATTTAATCCTGAACCCAGTGAAATAGTCTAAGGCACTCATTTACAACAGCATTAGTACAGTAGAATATGCTTATTATAGTTTATTATCAAAAGCATTTTTTCCAATGCAGTCTACTATTCCTGCCTGAAATGTTCAGGCAACCAGTATACATTAAAATTCTCTATCTCAAAATGTGTACTAATAATAGTCAGCCCAGTATATTAAAAGATAATAAATGATATAAAAATTTTCTATGATTATATTTGGTATCTTTGGTTGACAAAGTAGTAAAATGAGTATCAAGATAGGGACATAGTTATATTTCTGAAAATTAGCCTTCCACTAAGCACTAGGTAGCCAACCATTTTTGTCCAGTCATGGGAAGCAATGCATATAGATGGTATCATTCGGAAGCTCACACTTATAATTTCCAGAATGAAAAACAAGTCATTACACAACTAATTTTCTGCAAATAAAAACCAGTATTATTGAAAATAGTGTACCATTAACAAAAGAACAACACCAAGAGATCAGTTCTTGCAAAGAAAAGATAGAAACACAAGTAGAAGTGAAATGTAATCAGGAATCAAGATTAAATGTCATACAAAAGAGTAGTAACTATCAGTATAAACCAAGCATGTACTGCATCTGGGAATTTTGAATATAATTTTTATTAAGAATTTTAATTACAACAGTAGAAAACCAATGTAAACTAAACTTAGAGAAAGTGAAGGCAATGAAAAAAAGATGAGGGAGGGAGGGAGGAAACTGTGGAATCATATTTCAACCGATAGAATATTTGTTAATTTATTCCTTTTAAATGCATATTGTTTCCATACAGTGTAATATAGGTTTAATCCCTTGTAAATAATTGCCTTTTTCTGGTACCAACATGCATATGAATATCATGCCAGTGTACTTTTTATGAGTCGTAATATTTCAGTCTTTATTCCTGTTGGTTTCATCCTTCAAAATACTGCTGATGTTGTGTTAGTGGGTACTTTAAAGTGCTATTCCAGATTATTTACTTGGTTGCGGTGATATTTTATTTCATGCTTAATGTTCTAATATAAATGAGAACTTGAGAGGATGAACGGTCATAACATTATCACATTGAAAATACACTAATATTTGGAACCAGGTCTTCAGTTTGCACATTACACAAATTGATTAAATTGGAATTTAGTACATTAAATCCATGAAAACAAAAGCTCCTGTGTGGTTGATTATTCTATTTAGTACTCTTGTAGGAAACAGTGCAATCTTTGTATTTAGAGGTTTTTGTTTTGTTTCCAATTGCCTGCATTTTGTAAGCCTTCATTCAATATTCTAGCTAAACACTGATGCAGTGTTTGGGCACATAAATTACAGATAGTCCTTCTTTAGGAACCACAACTGGAACTAGCAATTTGGTCATTAAGAAAGCAGTCACTAAGTGAAACTGCAACTGCACTTTTCTTTGCTTTACAGAACTTTGATGTAATGCAAGGATTGGTCAGAAGTTACTTCTACATCACTGTTGTAACTGCAAACAGTTGTTAAACAGGACAGTGCATAAACATGGAGAATGTGTGGTTGTATGTGTGTATATAATGAATATTTATCCAAATAAGTATGACTGTGTATAAAAACATATTTCTGCCTGCTTTATTATATGAAAATAAGAGTGGGTATGTCAGAAGAAACAAAATTGAGCTTGAGTGTATGTAGTAAACAAATAGAAATTGAATCAGTGTATGTGAATTGAAACAAAGGAAGAAAGAGTGAATGGGTCAAGAACAAGTGAAAATCACAAATAGTGATTAAATGGAGTAAAGAGATCCTCAGAAATGAAAAAGTCAACATTTTTAAAAACAAAAGACAGTGCAAGATAGTCCTTTCTTACAATCACAATTGAGACCACTATATAATATGTCCTAAAGTGAGACATTACCTTCCCCATTGGCTGACATTCTTACAGTTTTTCTGCCACATTGCACAATTATTATTATTATTGCTGAGAAGCATGGCGCAAATACGCATGCTAGCCAAGGGAAAGGCAGGAAGTCGTTATGTTCACTGGGGAAGCGATGGGGGTTGGTTCAGCTTCTCCTACATATGGTTTCCTGAGCCAACCCCCCTTTCTTTGTCCTTGGGCAAAAATGCTTCCTGAATCATGAAAATAACAGGTGTGGGTTAGATAGGATCATAATGTGCTACTTTGAGAA